CAGATCTTTATCTTGATGTTAATATTGCATTATTTGTTTCTCCAATTATATTCCCTTTGGCTTTTTCTATAAATGGTAAGYTAAAACTCATYGTCTAGATAAGTTYGGGGTTAGGTACCAAGGTGCGAGCTGTGCGCATCAATCAGACTACRCCCTACCACGAAGGTAACCATGGCGACMGAGGGCCACAGCTCACCACCTGGTACCTGTCACACTGACCACTCAGTGGAATGATACTCACCTGGCTCCCACCAATTGAGGAGTGGGTGGGYGGGATAAAAAKTTTTTTGCTGCAAGACTGCTGGCAAAGCTGCCACTAGTCCTTAGCAAAAACGCGCCCCCTCCCCCACCCCCACCACATATTATTGGGGTGGGTAGCCGCTGGCCACTACGACTCGGTTTCAACTTACCTGAATTTCATTCATGCTCATTTAATATTGTTAACAGTAAGTTGACAAGGGTGAGTTGAATACAACTATTCCAAGAGAAGTAGAAGGGGCAACTGGCGGTCGGTGATTGGTGAAACATGACCGAAAGGAACTGTTGSGTAATACGAATTTCTTTGTAATCATTTCTTAAGCACCTTAGAAAAATGAGCATTTGCACATTCAGTGAAGGCATTTGATGGYGAGTTGGCAYRSTTRRTATTCAATTCATTTTTCYGTGTTATTGTGWCCATAGTTCCCTTTCGATCRTGCAATCTCCAATCAATGATCGCCAGTTGCCAATGAGGCTATCACTTAGTAAATGTGTCTGTCTGCAATCAAGGAACACAGTCGTGCTGTTTGAATTCAGAGATATTTAAAAARTTATGATGTACTGCATGGATACATACAACATATGATTAATTCAAAAAACATTCAACACAATCAACACCATGTGACTGAATGGAAASGAACTCTGAGTAGAAATCACTRAAGCAGTTGACTACAGTACATTATTATTTTATTTGATTAGTAATGCCTCAGGTTTACAGAATGGTCCACAGGCAGCCCAAACAAGGTTCYTGTGTATGGTTYATAAGGGAGAGAAGAGCAGATWTTGAAAAAACCCACTAAAYGGCCTCAAATYRCGCTAAAACTTYGCCARAAGACTGAACAAAGTAAAAGCAACAAYTGCAGCAAGTTTTGAGGCAAATTGTYGAGTGAAACATTTTATTKTCRTRACTTTWTCATAACWCCCATACATTCCCTTATAAACCATACACAGGGACCTTGTTTGGGCCACCTGTGAATGGTCCTTTTGGTATAGSAGACGTTTTTTTAATGCCTTAATATTAATTAATGGGACTTTGCAGCGATTTCTACCCATATTCCCTTTAGTTCAAGTCAGGTAGCTTGAGCCAGTCAACGACAATGTTTTTGAGTTGACTACAGTGTATATACGAATCTGTAAAACGTTTCTCTTTACAGCTGATTTCCAGAGGCGAGAGCGTGTGTTAGAAGATTTAGCATTATTAAAAGGTGGTTTGATCATCTTATTTTTCTGCCATAGAGATTGGCGTGTAAATGCAGGCAAGTAAAATCATATTTGTTAGTTAAACTAGTTTGATCCTCAGTGACCTCTCATACKTGTTTTAAGGAGCAAGCGTGGCTTGGKTGGTTAGTGTGCTGCCTGCTAAGCAAGAGGTCCATAGTTTGGTCCTCARTGACCTCACACATTTATTTTAAGGAGCAAGTGTGGCTTGGTTGGTTAGTGTGCTGCCTGCTGAACAAGAGGTCCATAGTTTGATCCTTAGTGACCTCACACACTTGTTTTA